ATCTTCCGATCCAATCAAAAAACCCTTGAGAAATATACGACGCACGATTTCACCACACCAATGTGGCTAATTAATAAAAATATAGTCAGTTTGAGCATCCCATTACTAAAACAGAGAAAAGCCAAAAACAAACAAGATCGCCAAGTGCAAACCCAATAGATATATCTACAACTATTTACCAGACCACACCTTTCAAGTGAAAACTATACTATTTTCTATTTATTAGGTTAAATACATTTTTCATAACATAAAATACAACGAAAACTAATAATCTCAAAAACCTGAGTACACCTGTGATTAAAAAAATGATGAGGACTTGTCCAAACCTGCTATGTTCCTAACCTCTTTGAACCACACTCGGAGCAGAACTTAGATGTTTCCCTCAAATACGGAGCCCCACATTCATCACAAAATTTTGCAGGAGTTGTTGGCTGTATAATAAGCAACGTGATACAACTCAGCAAAAAAAAGTTGTTAAAGGAAATGGCAAACAACTAAAATGAACAAATTTGTTCAAGTGTCTCATCATATAGCATTATATAGATTTAAACTGATAGCCAGTTCATGTGCCATATTTATACTACACATAAGGCAGATCCAGTGAAAACTTAATACTAATATTAAGTCCTATTGAGAAATCCAAAACAAGCACCTACTTTCGTAGTTATGTTTAAATGTTAAAACATCATACCGTGGATCGGACTTAGAGCAAATACAAAGTAGCCGAGTATTAACTCGGCAATTCGAGAAATGACACAGAACAGCAAAGTTAGTGTTACTACGCTTTTAGACATGCAAATCGCATTGCAAAACCCTATACTAATTTGATAAAACAAAATTCAACGAATAAACTCACCAGCATGTGCAAGCGTCCTCCAACATGGCCACCAGCGAGTGGTTGTAAGCAAGTCATATGTTGAGATATTGATATTGGCTGGTGAGCATGAGAAATTTCAGGTAGGTGTGAGGGAGGTCCACTTTGAGGGTTATGAGAATAGGGCCCTGCATGCTGACTTTGGTGCATAGTTTGGTTGTTCTGGAGAACTGGGTGAAACTGAGGTTGATGTGACAATGACTGCAGGTGATGTTTGCACGGGGTTTGCTGCTGATTTTGTGGCTGGCAAGAAAAAAAGCTTCCACATAATGCTAATGCTCTTAATAAAATATTATTAAAATTAACAGGAAAAAAATGACCCAAGATCCACACTAAGCATAACCAAAGCAACGGAAAGCATAATTAAGGCAAAGGCGTGAAAATTGGGTAAACAAACAATTTCCAGAAGTACACAAAAAAAAGAAGGAAGCTAATGCCCTGTGCTTAAATATAATATTATTGTCAATTTATAAATAAGAAGACACAAATCACCACTAGCAACAAGTTGTTATTTGATCCAACTTAAATTAATGGAGTCATTGATGCTATCTGCAGTTCACACCCATCTGAAAACAAATTGTTAGGTGTCTGTTAGTTTTAGTTTGATATTGAGAAAGTTAGTTAGGTAGGTTAGTTGGGATGAGACAGCTTGAACTTTGAAGAAATGATGTATGTTTGCAAACAAAATAAGAGGGGGAGGTGGGAGAGAAGGTCATCTAGTCATTAGTGAGAGAATTGGAGGTTTTGGGCATGGAGAGGTGCAGCTACCTGGAAGTTTTGCAAATTTGATGCCTTGTTCAGAGGATATCTCCCCTATTATTCGTAATAAGATATTACATTTCTATCAACTAATATCAGAGCTTTTATCATGTCTCTCAATTGCAAACAAGTAGCTCAGCTAGTGACATGTTCCCTTGAGACTAGTCAAAGGGCAAGTGCACAGCTCATTGGCGTGGGTGCTAGGGCTGTTGAAAGTGGTGGAATATTAGGATCCAAAGGCAAGGTATGAGATGAGTCCCACATTAGAAGTATGGGATTCTAGATTGAGGTTTATAAAGCCTTGGAATCTCCAATTACAACAGTTAGCTTTTGTATTGTGGTTCCCCTTAGGCAATGAGACCTTGATAGAATTATGTTGGCTGTTGGCAGATGCTCAGGACCAACAGTGACAGAAATTTGTAGCCGTATTCATGGGAATTCTTCCCTATTCTTTGTAATAAGGTACTACATTTCTATCAAAAACCAAAAGTGACAGAAATATATATTAACTTATATATCACTTACTGAGCGAAATCCTTGAGTAGTAGCCAATGTAGTAGAATTTTCTGCTCCAGGATAACCCTGTAAAAAACAAGTCAAAAGTCAATAGCATAAAGACAAGATAGAGTTTGGATACAAAGAAGTGGCATCCTTTAAATATAGTCTTCTATTCCATTTAGTATAATATACATCAATCACCATGATATATCGATCATAATTATGCAGGTAGCAGATGACAAACATTATATTCATAATCAGCATGCTAGTAAAACTTTTGCAAAATGGTGCAAATTTAGAAATGTCAGTTTAGACATTGTGCACAAAACTGCAGTAGCTCATGTGTTATACATCTTTAAAGAAGCAATTCATTTGCCAAAAATGAAGCACATCACACATACAGCAATATCTGGGATATTTGAAAGTGAAATTGATGCACCACGCCTATACTTGTGTCTTGGAGAGTAAAATTTGTAATCACTAGCTGAGATTGCAACTTCACTCCGACCTGTCAATTTCTTGAACCTAAAACCAACCAAAAGAACAAAACCAGTGAGACCAAGCATTACACTATTATTTGGTTTTTCAACAATTCTTAATCCATTAATTCAACTTACCACTCAGCATCATCAATCGGCACATTATTTGGTTTTTCAACAATTCTTAATCCATTAACTACCACAAAGCGAACACGCTTCTCTTCTTGTATAACTAGTTCTGGGAACCTTGTCCTCGTTTCCATTGAAGTTGCCAATTCTCTTCTCTTGAATGTACATGGTCCTGATGAGGGGCAACTCAGATAAAAGACATTAAATGTTGCAATCAGTATGTCTGACCAAGTCAAGAAAGAGGAAAAAAGAAAATTTCCTCCTACACCATACTGCCTAGTGCACATAAGGCCAGAGCACAAATTCTTTTTTTTTTTTTTAAGTATTATACATGGAATAGAAAAATCATCTTCAAACAACTAAATTGGCACCCCCCCCCCCCCACACAAAAAAAAGGGAGTCAAATCTATCTATAATACACGAAGGATACAAGGGAGAATAAATACCTTTTTTTGGAAATTTCTTAGCCAGTCTTCTATACAAACCACCTGCAGCTTCAAGTGCAACCCCAATTGTCTTCTCCCGAATACCATTCAAGGAAGCAAGCCTATTATTCACATCACTAACTAAACTTTCATACATATTCGCCACATACATCAAAGGCAGAGCAAAATTCGGGTCTCCTTCATACTGGATCTCTCTCGTCCTCCTCTTACTCATTTTATCTTGGCCGGCATAATCAGCCTCAGAGTCAGGCACCTCAATCACACGGTCATCAATAAAATGGTCCACAACAATTTGCAAAAACCTCGCCCTCGAGGATTCAATAGGTGAAACATCTAGTAGTCCAAGTTGAACTAAAATCAATTCACCTTAACTAGTTAACTCAACCTTCACCACACAAAAACCACACACATCTAGAACAATGAGTCTGTTTGGATAAGTTTCTCCAGAAACAGTTTTAGAAGAAAAATAAATAAGAAAGAAAATTGAAATAAACTTGTACGTAATCTAAAATTATCATTTAGAGAAGCTAATAGAGGAGAGCTTCTACAAAAATTAATTAGTGCATGAGCTAATTTTAGCTTATAAAGAAGCTTATTTTATCTTTCCTTCTTATTATTTTCTCCTATAAGTGCTTATGTAAAAATTTACTCAAAAAGACAGATGTCAGAAATCAGAAGTTGAAGCGAATTTTACCCTCGACAGACAATACATCGTAAGAGGTTCTAGAAGACTCGTTAGTGTCGAGACTGGCGCGATCCTCGTCTACCTCCACAGTGTGAAGTGGCAAACAGCTCCTGTGCGATTCATTGATACAATCCTGCGAGGAGATAGAAGGATTTTGATAGAGTGGAAAAATTGAAAAAAGGGAAAAGAGGGAGTATTAGGGTAAGGGAGCACTGACGACGGCGGAGGCGGAGTCGTCGTTGGGGTTGTCGTCGGCGGTGATGTGGTCGATGGCGGAGGTTCTGGCGTCGACGGCGTTGAGGACATGGAGAGGGCTCTCGATGAAGGAAGAGGGAGAGTTGAGATTGTAGTGCTGGACGGGAACCCTAGCGGCCATTTTGTTGAATTGGGAAAATGGAGTTGAAGAGGAGGAATTCAGCCGAAGTCGATGGGCTGAGCGTGGAGGTGGCGCTTGAATGCGTCACTGCAAAAGGGTTTGAGCGAGAGAGAAAGCATGGTAATGAGATGAAGAGAGAGAATGAATGAGAGAATTTTAACGGTAACGGCTATCCAGAGAGAGAGAGAGGGGAAGAAGGAAGAGTCCAAACCTGAGGGTGAGACCGTACCTGAGGTTTCCGGTGCTCAAAGCTGTTCCCAAACCTCACTCCCATCTCCGCACCAGTTACTACTGACTCTACTACCTTTCTTCTTTTATTTTCTTTCTAATTTCTAATTTCTAATTTCTATAAACAATTAGAAATTTATTATAACTGCGGCTAGGATGACTGACCCAGACTCCGAGCCTGCTCCCAACTGTAGCTTATACTCTGTCTCTATATTCTATATTAGATTTTATTCATCGTTTCTTTTTGTTGCTTTCTAGCGTATAAATTCATACGCAAACTGTGCCTATAATTGTTTTTTTAGCATATTATACATGTAAAGTATCTGTTAATTTTTCTGATTTACATCAGAACTTTTAGTTTGTGGTCTCTCATTTTAATTTTAGTATTTTTATTCATAAATTTCCAACTCGAAATTTTACTTAAATAATTCAAATCTAAGTTCACTTGTATCAATATGGTCTTTGATTTTGTTGGTTATTTAGATGTTTAATTTGTAAAATTCTTATTTCAGTTTATAATTTCATAGAAAAAATAAAAATTTATATTGTCATATAATCGCATTATATATATATATATATATATATAATAATAAATTATTAATTTTTATAATAATTAACTTTTAAACATTTTATAAATTAAACATTATAAACAATTTATTCTTAAGCGTGAGTGAAATAAGGAGTTCCTTATCTCAATGACACTAGGTGCAAGTTATGTTATCCCATGCGTGGGATGCCTGGATGATGATTGTGTTTACTCTATTACGTGTCATATAAAGTGTGAAAGTTGTAATTTTATATATGTTGATTAGATATGACATATGTAGATGTTTGTATGGTGTTGGATGATGAGGAGCATATGTATGTTGTATATATGTACGATGTTACTACACTTTATACACATTAATTGGATGTGATGTATTTAGATGATGTTTATATGAGATGTGGATGCTGAGAATGCGATATGAGAGTAGGGCATGATTGGCTAACTTATGACTTGAGGAGAGAAAATGATTTTTGAAATCTGAAGATCACATATAGGAAATCTTGGAGTAGTAGTGTTTGGGCACGCCATTATTAAAAAAACCCCATGAGTAGGTGTGTCTCTTGGATTGGATTTTGAGGTGTGTTGAATCTCCTCCAAGTCCTTAGTTAGTGGATGAGTAAGATAGGAGGTTGAGGGCTGCAACCCTTAACTAAGTATCTGGAAAGATTGTGTGGTTCTTTGAGAATAGCTAATGGGCTAACTCCACATGTGACTTGGTAATGCATGTCAAGGTTGTGATACACTTATACCCAATGATACGACTCCTAATGGTGGAACCAAATTTTTCTAATGTAAGTGGAGAAATATGAAAAATCATGTTAGGATTGGTGATCCAATTCGCTTGATGGGTCTATCTATTCTAAAGAAGATTGTGTTGATGAGTTTATCTAGTTTAGAGATGATTAAGTTGATTTGATAGGATTGAGTCACTTAGATTATCTAGTTGTTGGGAGATTTTCGTAGATGAATGCATGACAACACATTGGTTGAAATGTTTGCATATGATGTATGTTGCAGTGTAATCATGTGCATTGATAGATGTCTTGTTCGACAAGGTTTGGATGAGATACATATTTGCCTTGGAGTGTTTTGCTTTCATGTATGGTTGTTATGCTTATATATTTTTGAACTCTAGCTTACCCTTCTATTTCTACGTGGTTTGGATTATGATGATCATATGTTGCATAGGAACAAGCCAAGATTAGGCTGGAGGAGCGATGGCGGTGAGTTGACGGACCCCTTTTGTTGGGTGTTTATGCTACTTTAGTATAGCTTGTATAATTGTGTTCGAGTGACACTAGGATATACAATTTATTTTGAGATTAATTTACATAAATTTATAAATTGGTTTATACTAGTAAGGGTGTTTAACTTTTATAATCATGTTATATATATATATATTCATATGTGCTTTCTTTTATAAACTTGGTATATCCCTAGTTGTCAAGTTTTCACTTTCAATAATGTTGATTTTAAAAAGTGCATGAATCATAGTTACAATAATAAATATATGCATATACATAAAGTGTATCAATAAAAATTATGCTTATAATAAAAAATATAAATATAAATCGTTAAATCATATTTATATGGTTAGAATCAAAATAAAATTACATGAATTTTTTAAAGTACTATTTATCCTATTTTAATGTGTTTGGCAAGACATTTCAAAAATTTATAAGCTCCTTTAACTAATTTATAAACTAATTTGAACAAAATAAATTTATTTGATACGAGTGTATTTTAGAAATTTATAGTTTATTCTTATAAGCTAATTGAAATTAGCTTTTTTTTTTCTTCTCCCTTATTATCCTCATTAATGTGCTTGAAATTCTTTTTTATCCTTTTTATTTTGCCTATCATGTCATTCTTTCACCATCATTATAACAATCATTTTATATTTATCAACTAAGTTTACCAAATACTTTCAATTTAATCATCTAGTTTATTAGTTTTTAACTTTTCAACTCCTAATTTATTATAAGTCTTTAGCTAGCTTTATAAGCTAATTTTATTAAGATCAATAAAAATATTAAGGGTAATTAATTTTCTTTAATAATATCATAAATTTATTTTTTTATTCCAAAAAATCCTTTGATTTGAACGGTTTAAATAGTAGTTATATTTTTTTAGGAACATGGTCCATGCAATCTTCTAAAATTGACAATCAATAACTAATTTATACTGGTGAGATATGTCTTTTGTTCATGAGAGTGGTTACATTTAAGAGACGAGTAAGTATCTTAATAATATGCAAGTATTTTAGTAAAAGATAATTTTTTCCACCATTTAATAGAACAATAAATACATCCACTTACATAACACGTAAGTATATGTCTTATTAATATGTATTTTAGTTTGTGTAATACACATTCACTAAAATTTATAACATATATCTACAAATAAATATTATATTTGAATATATAAATTACATTTAAGTTTTATATAAATAAATATTTTTAAACATATAAATTATTTTTCATATTTATGATAAATGATTTATATCTATCAAAAAATGATAAATAATTTATATCAAGATGCAATATTGCTTTTAATTATTGATAATTTATTTTTAAAGTATTGAAATTTAATTAATAAATAAATATAATAAATTAAATTTAAATTAGATAAAAAAATTAAAAGAATCTCTAACAATTCTCTCGTAAAAAAAAATGTTTAAAAACACTTGTTAAAGATAAGTCTATAAAAATGCTCTAATCTAAGATAATCAATCATATTCAATAAAATTAGATTTCACAATAAATAAAAGATATAAAAGGATAGTATAAAAAATATTAAAAAAATTAATAACTTTTTTTTCTTTGGTTCGTCCTTGTTTAAGCGTGAATTAACCCCTAATGCTGAACCACACGCTTGGAGTTAAAAAAAATTTAATAATTAATATATCTTAAATTAGTTCTATATTTCTTATAATTTTTTTAAAAATAATACATATTTATTTCTTATTTAAAGAATCAGAGAATAATTTAATCTCGAATGTCCATGTATCCACGTTTTTACTTATTATCACTTAACTTTTTATTTTATAGTAAAATTATCCCTTAACATGCGTCCTATATTTATATTTATACAATAACATTTTTCGCATTGTGCATTGTTTTTCATGTTTTTATCATTTCATTTTAAAATGCTGTGGGCATAAAGAATGAATCGTGTGATAAGCTCTGACAGCTTAAAATCTATTTTTGATAAAATATTATTAACGTTGTTTGAACTATAAATAAATATCAAAATAGTTAAAAGTTAAATATCTTTTATAATTAGATAATTAATTATATAAAAATTGACTGGATTAAAAGTTCATAAATACATGTTATAAAATAAGAATAATATTGAGGAAAAAACACAAATATTGCCAAACGAAACGACGATATGCCCTATACGACCAGATGCAAACTTCAATCACACGGATGAAATTAGTCAATAAGAGATGACAGAAGTGCATATTTCAAGCTAATCTGAATCTGACATGACACCATAAAATATTCGCCCATCTTGAAGTTCTATGACTGGAATATAAATTATCCCCAGACAGCACAAATTATTTAAGCTACATTGAACTCAGTAAATTTCAAGAAAAGATTATTAACCATAATGTACAAAGAAAACAATAAACACCCAAACAGCTGCAACTGCAAAGGGGTGAATTCAGCGTCTCCCAGATGCTACTGATTCGGTATTAAAGAGATACTTTACGCGTGAAAGAACCGAATCATGTGCTGGATCATAAGGATGGTCTTTAGAAGGGATTTCAAGTATTGCAGGAACAGGCTTGTTATAACTATCAACCAAAAACCTTATCATATTCGCAACCTGCACGGCGAAAGAAAGTATAAGATTAGGGGTTCTTCGAAATTGTGGAAAACATGCATGTATACCGAGGTTAGGAGTAACAGGGTTGTAACCCAAGCTCACACGTCACAAGTAAACAAAATACTTTTTAAATCTCAGGTAGGATACCATGATGGCCGAATCAACAATTAAAGAGATGGACCTAATAATTGAACTAAAAATGTGAGAAACCATATGACTTGGCAACATGTAAACCCCCAAGGTTACTTCTGAAACGCAGCGACTAGTCAGTCCAGCAGAACTCTAGTATTGTATACACCATAATTCATTGAGCATTTTGTTCCTTCAAAGCCGCATGCATGTTTATTGTTTAGGAACCTGTTGTTGTGGATATGAATAGATTCCTTCCAGAATTTCTCAATTCTCAATTCTCACAGCAAGTAAATGGGCGTATGGAAAAAATAAGGTCATTTTTCAGACCATATGAAGTAGGAAAACAATTGCATATATATTGCTATGTTAATTAACATGCAAGCGCACAACTGCCTGCACAATTTATTGTAGCCATGAAATATGACTTACATATTGGCTAATTAGCACAATTGCAATATCCTCCCTTGTTGTAAATTCTTTGAATGCATCCTCAATTTGTTTGACAGTTGTTTCTGAAAAAAAAAAGTCAAGATAAAACAAAAACTTAAGGTAAAATCAACTACATTTCAAACTGACCAAAAATATTTCATAACATGACGCTATTGACACACAAAAAAAAATGTTGTAGATCTGTAGTAACCAAAGCACTGCCTAAGGTTTTAGCTTAATCAACCCCATAGTTTCTTGGATATCTACTAATTACCAGTGAGAAAGTAATAAAAATAATGCAAATACAATAACAGTATGATATGTCAATTTCTTACTAGTTTCTAGGCTAAAAAAATTATTCTCTATCCTTTCTACTACAGATAAGGAACATGGACTTGCATATAGAAACCTTGGCTTGTATTGTTTTAAAATAAATGTTCTGTTTCCATTTCCTATTTTCGCTAATAATTAGGAAAATGCTACCTTGTTTTCAAAGATTTTTGTAGGAAATGGAGAAAACAGCCTACAACAAATCTTTTAAAACAAGAAACAAAGTGTAAACATGGTAGCATTTTTGCGATTATTAGTGAAAAGGGGGGAGAGAGAGGGAGGGGGGGGGATATGATTTCTTCCACAAACCCTTTACTTTTCCACCAATCCTATTGAAGATGATTACATCTCTACTCTTAAGCAGTCTTCTACTGAAAACAAACATTAACAAGAACATAGCTATTTTTATTGGTTATCACAATTTGTCTGGTAGCTAAAACAGGAAGGAGTCACTTTTAATGTAAAATTTAACAAGAAAATCATTGTATTTAGGGGATTGTCACCAACCCTACACACATAATACAGAATAGTGTGTAAAATATATTTCATTGGCATACTTGAATCCACAATGAGGTAATTTGTCTTCCTGCGTATGTCAACATTTCCCACTCCAGCCAACAGAAATCCAACTACAGTATCCTGTGTAAAATAAAATACTCGTTGTAAGCCTTCAGGATGTTTTAATCATTTCAATTAGAATGCCAATTGCAAAAAAATTACACTGTAACATAATGGGGGAACTGGTGCAGTCAGTGTTGAAACATTAAAAACACAAGCTTAAAGAATAAAATATCTCACCAATCGGATTAAATTTGATTGTGGCTAATTTTAATGATGCAGTTCTTGGTAGATTAGGAGTGTGTTTGGAGAGATTAAATTCTCTCTTTTCAGCTGTTTTGGTGGAAAAAAAGCTGTTGGTGAAGGTGAAATAAGCTACTTGTTTGGGAAACTAGCTTAAATTTGTAAAGAGTTTTTTTTTCCTGAAAAATAAACTGTTTTTATGAAACTGAAAATTTAAAGCTTATGATTATTTTTCAACAACATTTTTCTCTTTTAAGCTGATTTACTACATTAAAAACTGATTATTTTGTTGCATACAAACGAAATTAAACATCTTAAAATTGTTTTATAACAAACTTAACCAAACAAAATTTCATTTTAATTATAATCGATTATAACAATAATCGTTTATTCATATAATCCATTATCAAAATAATCTAATTTCCACAGCTTTCCCAAACACACTCTAGCTATCAATTTTTAATTCTTGTAATTTTTTAAGCTATAGAGATATCTCAGTACTTTCCTATTAAGATTGTAAAGGCAAGTATTTAGTTGTGTCAGACTTAAATGTATGGGTTTTAGGTGTGTGTACTCTGTAGGTGTTTCACTTTTGCTTTTCTCTATTTTGGGGTTCCATTATCTTACTGGCTGAATTATCTGATTCTGAGTAATTGTCTAATTGAATTTGAAACTGAAGTTTAGGGTTACTTACTCCTAAGTTTTGATAAGTCCTATACTCCTATTTAATTGAGGCACTCAAGTATCAGAATATATATAAGTGCTCAGCTTATGTCTTATGGCAGCAAATCACTCTTTCTGACTGAGTGTGATGCAATCAAACCAAATGCTTAATGCCCCTGACCATAACCCATAAGTGTTGACACCTAGGTTCGTTTCTTCTTTTGCAGTTTTGCCACAATTTCTATGAAAAACTTAAGTTTTATCAGGTATAGATTTAATTTGTTGGGATGAGAACAACAACCTCAAAACTCCACTTTATTTTTTCCAAATCCTAGTAATTATTGCTTGAATCTACCCAAGGAATTGCAATCATAAACAGCCAAATTAGCTTCTTACACAGCATCTGAATTGTCATCAACTTGACACCTGAACCATCTTAGTTTAAAAGCCTTGCCTTCAAATTTCCTCAGGAACCTATCAATTCAATCAACTGTTTTTATAACTCAAGTCTGAACCATTCAAGAGACCTTAAGCCTAACCAATCAAATCTTAAGCCTTTTATTGCTCTATACCAGGAACACATAGAATAGTATATTTTTCTCAGCTAGTCTGCAGGGGTGCATTATCACTAGTAGACTGATAACAAAACAGATCTCCAAAAGTATTGCAAAATTTTCTTGCTGCAGTCTCGTAAACACATTAGCCAGGACCAGGATGATTTCAGACTAGAACCTCCACAGAAATTTGCTTTCTTATTCACTATTACTGGATCGGATCCCAATTATAATACCATCCGCTTTAACAGTCTTTCAGACAACTTGATCGCATGACACAAAACAACTTCCATATTGCATAAAATACGCAACAATCATATCGCATGAAGCAACAATCAACACAATTCAACTTAGCATACTATAATTTCCAACTTAGCATACTATCAACACAATTCAACAATCAAAGTTAAGTGCCTCAATAATTATTTCAACCTTCACAAAATGAAATTTTAAGCGTGCCAAGGAAAATCTAAAGGGCATGCATCATAAACACACAATACTTGTTGTTCTGCAGTGAAGACTTGAAGAATGCACACACGACATTACCACACTCTTACCTCATCTGCAATCATGGCAATAAGTGCTGAACTGTTGGTAGGAATTTGAACTCTGTTGGCCATTTGGTATGACTGGAGAAGATAAACAAGAACAACAATAAACGTCAGAGAGCCTGTCAATTAGCCATAGGTATTAGACTGTAAGTAGTATTGAACAATAAAATGCAATCCACTTCCAAATAATAAACATGATACATCATTAAAGCACATTATCCGTTCATTACTACGAGTCAATTTGGCATCCCCTTAAAATTAGGGTTGAGAATCAGCAAGGAATTTTTCACACAAACTCTTCCCTGAATAATTCACCACAATTTTTCGTGGGGATACCAAACTAACCACGACTAGAAGATCGTAAATCTAAGTCAATCCGAGTGCTCTTAAATAGTAAATAATCACAGATCTCAGATCCTTTACACGTGACTAATTGAAATTACGATCCCTTTACTCGTCATTGATCCCAATCAAAAGATCTATAAATTGAGAAATGAAATGCGAATTGAAAACAGGCGTACAACAATCTGCCCTCTGTTTAAAGTGATTTAAATGAATTGTGCTCTGAAATTCCTCATAAGAGGATCGACGTAACCAAAATCAGCATCAAGGGAACTAAATCCAAAATTTCACAGTTCAGAGCAAAGGACAGATAGAACGAACCAGATCGGAAGGCCGGAAGCGGAGAGGGCGGAAACGACGGAAGATTTCAGAGCGTACGGCGGCGCTTGGCGGAGCTAGGGAGGAGTCCGGCCTGGTTTGGAGCTCCAACAATTATGCGTGCTATCTGTTTCGGACCTATTTCTTTCGCCACCCTTTTTAACTTTTTTATTTTTCTTTTTTCTCCCTTTGTTTTGTTATGCAGTGTAAGGAAAAAATTGCATTTAACTTTTAATTGAAATAGGTTTTTTATTTTAATTTATTTCAGATTTTAGTAACATTATCTCTTTATATAATAAAATTGTTAACATATAACCAGACTTATTTTTTATATATATATATAAAGAATATCTATTTTTGTTTTCATATATACATTTATATCTCTCTATTATATATTATTTATTTATTATTATTATTTTAAAAGTAAAATAAAAGAAAAAATATCAATACAAATTAATTATCTATTCTATTAATAATAATTATTCTATTATTTTGTAATCGCATTTGATCTTTAATTTTATTTAAGATTATTATTTTTTCAAATTATATATTATATCTATTATCACTTAATTTGTACTTTACAATCTTTATTGTTTTTAATCTTAATTTTTAGTATTTTTAAATAAAATACATAAAAATGCAAAATACCTTCATTCCACTGATCTTCTGTGAAAACAATATCAACTAACACTGGAATAATATATGCAGCTGAAAAACTATATTTTATACCCTCTTATAACTTATAAAAGTAATGTCAATTAACATTTAAATAATATACGACGATGAAAAAGCTACATATACAAGTTTCTGCTACTAATCTCATGAAAAGGGTGACCTGTCAATGAAAAAAATCCAAAGATTGATCAACTTCAACAATATTCATTATCACAAGTTTCGTGTGTTTTTATTTTGTTTAAATTTTGTGTATTTCATGAAAATTAGATGTTGTTAATGTTTGTCATCAAACACTTTAATTTGGATTTTTCAATGTCCTATTTTGATTTTATTAAATAGTTAATTCGTCCTCATATAAATATATATATACCGGTGTAACTTTTACTAAGTGTTATACCGCTCAATAACTTTATATTAAATGTGAATTTTGAAAATTCAACCGTTAGATTGAAAGTTCATATCTCTTAGATCATATATGTCAAATTTTGTATTAATCTAAGATGATTTGATACTTCATTCTCATAAAACAAAATTGACGTAATATATACATTTCAAAATATACTAAAATATGAACACTTAGTAAAAATTACACCGGTGTCGTTTGAACCCTCCGCATATATATATATATATATATATATATAATTCTTTCAACTAGTTTATTCTCTTTAAAAAAAGTTAATTAATATAGTAGTAACATTAAATTTATTTATATTTTAAAAAAAAATTAAATTAATAATCTTTGCCTCTACTAAATTGTTTTTTTGATAAAAAAAAAATTGTTTTTTTGACATGGACTAGAGTGGGTGAGTGAAGCCTCACCGTGAGAAACATGGTCTACACTCTACACCATTGAATTTTCTTACATTAAAATCAAATTGCTGAGATTTATTATTCTTTTCATTTTTTATTCATCTATTTCGTGATTTAGCCTCTTATGCTCTCTCCTTACTTCGCCTCCATCACCCTTCCTCTTTGTTGTTTCAATTTCTCAACACCATTATGTTGGTCATCGTCATGTAAGGGCTTTGCACTTCAAAACATATCCATTTATTTTTATTTTTTGATTTTTGGTTTTCCTTTTATGCTAATTTATTTGGTTTTCATAATGGTTATGTTTTTAGTTGTGTATTGGTGCAGAGAAATGGTGGGAGAAGGTTACAGAATGAGGATCTAGGTGGGCGGAGTAGTTTAGTTTCTACAGGCGAAACATCTGTACTACAAGAAGTTGTGTCAGTGTCAAAGACCAAAAAGAGGTTAGAAGTGTCAAAAATAGGTTAAGTCGATTAAAATAGATCTTATTTATACATGTCAAATGTTATTTTAGATTAAAGTAACCTATAAGTTAAATTAGCTTAATTAAAAAATATATTTTTTAAAAATTAAATATATCTTTTAATGAAAAAATAAAAAAATAATATGATTAATTGATATTATATTTGTCATGAAATATTTAATAACTTTACATGTATATAATTTTTCACAATCATTGTATTTAAGTTATCCATCCCATCAACTAGATCAATATTTTCATAATAATTTCATATCTCAGAGGTATTACTTTGTTTTCTTAGTTTTTTAATATCTTAGTGTTTGTCATTAATATGCATACTTTTACTTTTATCTTGACTCAATGAACATAGGTATGAGCATGACTGCATCTTTGTCTTCTTTGACAAACAACATAGAGATGACGAGTTACAAGGTCCAATCATCGAGGGCACAATGGGAAAAACGAAGCTCTCATAGTGACTAACCCTAATTCTAAGCATGTAACCATTGTAACATTGCATGCCTTATATGCTTTATTATTTAAATTATATGTTGTGTAATTGTTGCTATGTTGTATTTATTGTTGTTTTAGAACTCGAAGAGTCAAGAGATCCTTGAGAATTAGGTTGTTTTGAGGTTGTTTCTTAAGGCTTGAACTTCATAAGTTTGTATCCTAAAAAAACTAAAGAGAAGCTAGAGAGATAGACTTTGGAGTCAAAGATAATCCTTTTTCCTTCTAACTATGTAGAAGTCTCCAAACCCTTTTTCATAACCAAGTAGTAGTGTTAGATTGGACAATTCAAGGTTGATCTAAGAATCAAGGTCGAGATTATCATATGGCAAACTTTTGGGAGCCTCTTTTCTTTGCCGTCCTCCCTTCCTTTTTCTTGTTTTCTGAGCAATTCCAGGTAACGAAAGTTTGTAAATTGATGTTTGTTGAATTAGTTGATTTTTGCTTGGAATTCACTATTCTTGTGGTTGTATTGATTGAATCAAGAGTGAAGGATACTTGTTTTAAGTTTTGGTTTATTTTGAATGTGGTTGAAAAGAAATTGGTGATCCTTGACTTTAATGGTTGCATGGTGTTGTTTTTGATTAAAATGATTTACTTTTGATGTATGGGTGTTGGATTATTAGCTACATGTTAGTTAATACGAAATTTTTGTAGGTTTGAGACAAAATTATGATTCTACTAAGTGTAGAGATCATCATCACACTAGGATAGCTTTATGGCGTTGAACATGATGCAAGTTAGGGGCTCTTTGTCTCACTAATGTATGGTGTGAGATAGGCAGTATCAGGTGTGATTTAGTTTGGGGCTCTCTGACTTGGTTATGCTAGGTGTGAGAGAAGAGGCATCGAGTGTGATTGCCCTAAGAGCTCTCTAACTTGGTGACGTAAGTACGAGGCTCTCTACCTTACGACGTCGGATATGAGTTGAGTAGCATCGGACGTGGGTTAAGCAAAGATTCTTTTCCTGGATGACGTTGAGAGCATGTTTAGTAATGTTAGACATGGTTTATATAGAGACTCTTTGTTTCATTATCGTCAAGTGCAAGTGTATTGACGTTAAGCATGAGTGAGCTAGAGGCTCTCTACCTCACTGGCGTTGGGCATGGTCATGTTGAGTGAGAAATGATGATTAATTTATTTTAATGTTGAAAGTATGTCGATTGTTTACATGATGAATATTGTGATGAATATTGATGATTGATTTTAGTATATTGTATATTGACCTATAATGATATATGATGATGATTTCAGTTGTTTAAAGTTGGGATTAGTTGTTGTTTGGAATTGTAAGTTGTTATGTTATATGAGTACATGTGAAACATGTTTTTAAGTTGAAGTTGCATAAAAACTAGAAGAGAAAAAAGTTATTTTCAAAAAATTAAATATCTCATAAGTGGCCATTGAGTAAGGTACAAGATTGGTAGCAAAAATCTCTAACTAAGTACTAAAAAAGTGCACTTTATTTAGAAGGTGGTCAGTGGACTAATTCCATATAGGCTTAGTTATACATGTTAAGATTGTGGTAGACTTACACCCAAGTTGTTCTATCTTTGACAATAGTACTAGATTTTCTTAGTTTAAGTGACGAAACTTGAGAAACAAAAATGAGTTGTTAAAGAAGTCACGGTGTCTGAAATTGCCTGTACTTGACTTAGAGAAGACAGGTTAGACATTATGATTCGATAGATCAAGTCACTTAGACTAATCATCTCAGTTGTAAGAGATATTCATAAATTGATATGTGTGATGATGCATTAAATATTTAAGTTGCTCAATCGAATTTAAGTTGTTTATTCAGTTGTCTTGTTGACTTTAAGTTGTTCAATCTTTAATTAATCTTTCCTTAATTGCTATCAATTGTTAAGTTGGGAATGATGTTGAAGTTCTAGTTATGCCTTCATGTTAGAAAACTAAACTAGTGTTTTAAGTTGGTTATATTATAAAAGTTGTTACTTTGTTTACCTATTGATATGTTGTTTTCTTTCATAAGCCTACCTTCTTTTTTTTTCAATGTTGTTGGACTACAATGGTCATACTTAGTATAACAGTAGGTTAGGATTGGGTGGAGGGCAAGCTTGGAGGTTGGCTATTTAGAGATAGTTTTGTTTTGGTTGAGTTGTTATTATACAATTGTTCTATAGAGACGCTTAATCGATGATAGGATCTTTTGTATTCAATATTTCATACTTTTGTTGTGTAGTTGTATATATGTATAGGGTTTTATTGTAACCCCATAATTAGTTATATGTTTTCAAGTCAAATTAACAAGAACTATTTTATGTTTTTTGCACCCTATACTAATTTATTGCATTAATGTCTAGGTAATTATTGTATTGTAGTTGTAGTATACTAAGTGTAGTAACTTGTTGGATCATTACAACCATAACCCTATAAGTGAACACAAAAAAGTGAAAAGTGTGGATGATTGAGTATACCAAGACTAGAGTGGTGAAAAATGTTTGAGATTTTAACTAATTTTGTTGAGGAAATTGGAGAGAAAAAATGTTATTCAAGTGGTGACAAACAATGGAAGCAATTATGTTATGATGGATAAGAATTAGTCATCGACATTCCCCAATGAAGTTTTTAATTTTATAAATCATATAAGATTATAAGCTATAAGTTATGATTTTTAATTATTTTGTTATTGGTCTTTTTAGGTAAAATTTTACAAACTGTGAGGTCACATTTATTTTAACTCTATG